CTAAATAGGAGTTCTGACAAATTATTTTGGAACATCCTAGGTCCTAGGACTATATTGCACAATTGTTGCAAATCTCTGTGAAGGCCTGGTAAATCTGTCTCTAGGATTCTACCAAATGGACATATTGAATTTTTTTTAATTTTTTAAAAATCTCAATGGAATTAAAATAAATGAATGCTAATTTAAGAAAAATGTTATGGAATGTTAACAGCAACAAGATCTGTGATTCAGTAAAAACAAGGAAGTGAGATGGGAAATCCGAATGACATTTTAGTGAATGCTGATTCAAAGTTCAGAGATCAGCCTTCCATCTTTGTGAGGTCAGTAAAATGAGGACCCAGATTGTTGGGGGTAATATGCTGCCTCTGTAAACCGCTTAAAGAGGGCTGTAAAGCACTGTGAAGCGGTATATAAGTCTAAATGCTATTGCTATTGCTATAACATGTAGATTGTTCTTTTCAACACTATACAAATGATAAAGATTGCATGTTTAAATGATCCTTCATTTATACACATGGAAGACAAGAATGTAAAGGAAAGACTTTGAATCTGATGTTCTCTCAAAATTCTGGTCTTACATCTCCAGCAACTCTGAAAAAACCAAATGACTGTATTGCTCTTTATTGCTTGTAAGCTACTATAATTAAAATAGGATCAACTTTAAATGCCTTTTATATTTAATTTGGTTTTCCTGCTTATAGCCCACATGAAATGAGATAAAATATAAGTATATAATGCCATACATATACATACACAATACACACACATATATGTACAAATAAAATATTATGTCTGTAGACATGCTGGCCACCTGACCATAGAAGTGGCTCCCTTGGCTAAAAAAGGAGATGAGTATTGCCCTCTATAGAGACAGACTGACTGGACCTTTTTAATGTTGGTACGTAAACTAGACTAAGCGCTAGCATCTAGCCAACCTTAACTGATTTCAAAAAATAAGTAAGCAGGGTCAGATTAATTAGAGTAAGAATGGAAATCACCAGGAAATTCCAGGGCTGTAGGCTAGACAGAGAGTTCATAATCTGTTTTGGAATACAGTAAAGGCAAACCATGTTGTCCCATCATCACTAGTTGAGCTCAACTAAAGGAAGTCTTTTATTTTTAATGGATAGTTATTTTTTATTTACTCTGCAACAGGGATTTTGTTTTTCTGTGTTAGCTGATGGTGTCAAGCTGAAATTGGTTTACACCTGAAGTACTGTTTTTACTATACAGTAAATGTATTGTTGCATAGAAGAATATGCAAATGTTCAAGGTCATAGCAATACACACTTTTCCTTTCTAAATTGATTTAGACCTAATAAAATGTATGACTTGCTTTGGATATGTTCTTCTGAGGTCATAACTATCATGCAGCAAAAATGAAGCTGTCTGATCCAGATGGGGGATGTAACGAAAAATTGGAGTCAAAATGATGCAGCAAGTCTCTAGAAGCTTGGATCTGAGCTGAGGGAGAAAATGACATTTGAGATCCAATTTAGGGAGCAAATGTCTTCAGTTAGCATTGGCACTTAGTAAGTAATAGCTTGTCTTCCTAAAAGTTGATTTATTTAACTAAACCAGCAGATGTCTATGCCATTAAATCATAATTAATTCACAGTGGTTTAATAAAATACAAAGCACACTAAAATCTATAGTAAAAAGAAAAAATAAAGTAATTGATTTTATAATAATATAATTTGTAATTTATTATAATTTTAATTATGAGGTATTTGTTAATATTCCTACTATAATGAACTATTAGTATTGTAACCACCGTTCAGAAAATGACATTCTTTAAAATATGGAAGAAATGCATATTTTAGATGCCTAGTAATTTAATATAGGATTATTTAAAACTAAACAAAAAATTGCTTAATTCTGGAGGCTATACGCGTAGATAGTTTTTACTTGCTTCAAGTCAAATTTCTCTTCAATAAAAACAAAATTTGGCGACCATTCACTTGTAATGGTTTAATTAAAATTGTGCCCAGTTTTTCAGTTGCTTTTGTGTAATTATTAATCACTCCATGGAATTGGTGTCAAATGCCCACAGAAGAATCTTTCTAAATATCTAATTTAAAATAATCAAAAGGATAACTATCCAGGAATGCTAAATTCTTGAGCACCTCTTTAGCTTCTTTGTGAAACAAATTCTAAATCATTTTCTGACATCTGCCAAAAAAGAAATTGCAATGATTAAATGGGGCTTTCATACTGAAAGCATCTTTACTCTTTTTGGGGATATTAGCCATTTTAAGGTATTTGAGACATTTTCTAGTTTAATTCACATATATAAAGTACACTTTGAGTGATAAGAGGTAGCCCAGGGCAGTGGTGGCGAACCTATGGCACGGGTGCCAGAGGCAGCACTCAGAGCCCTCTCTGTGGGCATGCGTTCCGTCGTCCCAGTCCTAGGCCTTCAGCTGGGTTTTATAAAACCTTTTCGTTTTAGGCCTCCGCTGCCGTGTGCAAAACAAACAAAGGTTCAATCAATCAGTCAATTTCAACTCGCAGGAAAAAAAATCTTGCAAAGTTGGAATTGATTCATTGAACTTTTTAGCCCCACCCAGTCTGCCATTACCACTGCAGCCACGCCCAGCCAATGCACCACACCCACCTGGCACCTGACGATGCATAAATGGGTTTTGGGTTGCAGTTTGGACACTTGGTCTCTAAAAGGTTTGCCATCTCTGGCCTAGGGATCTCAAAAAAATGGTCAATAATTTAGATTAACAAGATTTTGTCTAAACTTTATATTGTCATGATTTTTCCACTTTTTGAAATTGTCAGAATTACTCAAGGTGAGTTCCCATCCTAATTATTTATATTACATTTTGGAATGAGGTTGCCTTCAAGTCACTGTTGACTTCTAGTGACTGAGCAAGTCCCTGCAGTTTTCTTGGCAAGTGTTCCAAAGTTTTCAGTCTTTCAGAAGTTTTCCCGAAATTTCTGAGAGAGAGTGACTTTGTGCTTAAATCAGGACTAAAACTCACCACCTCTTGGCTTTTAGCTTAATGACTCCACTAAATTAGCTCACATTACACTAATACAAATCCTATTTTATTATAAGATTATTGAAAGAAAATAACAAGAATGGGCTTATAACTCCTCAGATCTAGCATGTAAGAATAAATAGGGTTAATAAGGGTTAATTAAGTCAGAGACAGTTTTGTTGGGATTAATATTAATGTTTTTTTCAGAGTCATCATATGGTGGAATTCCTATGCTATTAAAGACAAGTTCTTATGAGATTCACTTGTAACGATGCTTTTAATTTTATCAGAATATTGCTCTTAGAATCCATTTTTAGTCAGGGGAGAATGTTTCAAAATTAAGGTAAGGAATTAAAACATAATTTGGGAATTACTATTTTTATTAAAATTTTACAATACAGTAAAATTACAAAAGGAAAAAGAAAACAAAATAAGAAGATTGGGAATTACAAGGGGCATCAGAACTGCACTAAATAGATCTCCACTAAATAACTACAATGGAGTTACTCCCAGACAGGTGTTGATCTCTGCATATGTTTACCTGATTACCAAGTTATTACATAGGTAGTTGAACTTTGAGGTTATCAGTAAACATAGCACATATATTTTCATCTCAACACAGACTAGTTAGTCCGAATACAACAGTGTCTTTTGTCCCATGTAGCATGATGGATTTTTGCCCATCAGATCTAAGCCAGTCAGTTAACTAAGATGTTCCATGCATGTTCATTCCTTTATTCATAACAAAACTAGGGATATTGTTTGGCCAGTCTAGCTTATAACAATTTTTGTGCCCAGATACTATTTGCTTTTCTTGCAGACTTGTCTTTGAATTTGACCATCAATTTGAGCTAGATTCTGTATGTATTCCAAAACAAACTGGGAGACAATCACTTTAGGCTTATTTGTATATGCATATATAAATATATTTAACAACTGCATTTAAATTCAGATCCATTTTGTGACAGTGTGGGTGGAATTAGTGTATTCTTCTCAATTTGGTCTGATTTCTTATTCAAAAAAGGTCCTGTTTCAAGAGCTCTCAGAGAAGCTTTTTGTTTCAAGCATTCTCTGAAGGGCTACAAGATAATCTTTATTGGATGGCATCTTCTTTTTCAACAGCTTTTTAATTATGATCTAATTTAAAGGCAAAGAACAATACGAAGAGAGATTAATTTCCCACAGCAGGCGGTTTATGCCCCCACCCACCCTTCTCTTTCTCTTTCTTTCTTCCTCTTTCTCTCTTTTTTGGCTGATATGTAAATGTATACTCTAATTCATACTACTTAACCTGCCACAGGTTATTCTGAAGAATTCTAGACAATATAATTTGTGAACTAATTATTGAGAAATATGTGTTGTTGTGCTGCCTCACAGTGAGTCAATGGATTTTATTCAGCCCCCCAGCAATTCCAAGAAAGCCCATACAACATGTATTTCCAGCTGCCCTGCTCAGCAACACTGGAGCGATACCAGAATCCTTGGCAAAACTCAGTCCATAAATACAGTATACAGACCAGAGTCAGTTCAGAGTCCCAAAACACAAGTTCAAGATACACGAAACAGGAACACAGAATAAGGAACTGGACATGTTCCAGCGACGCCCGTCTCTTAGGGCAGTATTAAATAGGCAATGCCTATTCTGGAATTAGAATTAAGTCAAATGTGTAGTTTTTAGAGTGAGATAGAATAATGCTGGATTAAGTATATGTAATTTTTTTTTTGATCGGAGCACAAGACGTAGAGAATCAGTTCCTAATAGTTTTTCTGAAGTTATTTAAATACACACACTATAGATACAGCTGTTACTGCTTTTGTTCAAGTTATTTGAAATAGTTCTGGGTTGTTCATTCTAACCAAAGTTAAATTTCAATTTGAAACTTGTTTTATTATTATGTAGACTTTAGTTATTTGTATATTTGTTGCTAATCACTGAATTTCAGCTAGAACAACACAGACTGAAATTAAATTGAAAGCATGCTAATGTCTTGCTTTTTCTTTTATCAGGTGCAAGTGTAATCTTCATGCCACTGGCTGCAGAGTTGAAAATAAAAAATTATTATGCGAGTGTGAACACAATACCACAGGCCCAGACTGTGGGAAATGTAAGAAGAATTACCAGGGACGTCCTTGGACTCCAGGTTCCTATCTGCCCATTCCTAAAGGCACTGCAAATATCTGTGAGTACTTGTGCACAACATTACAGCTGCAAAACTGATGCTTGGGACCTTGTGAGTTAAAAAAAAAAATCAAAATTCAGACCCAAATTTAGAGCATGTCTGAGATGCTAAAGCTTATTGGAAAATTAAAATCTTTATGGTTTGCCCAGTGTTATGCATCTTTACTTATTTGGAATATGTTCTTGGATAATGATGCAAAAGAAATTATCTGCTCAAATAAATCAGCAAGAAAATTGTGACATCTCTCTTTATCAAATTTGCAATGGTCACACCAGACACACACACACAGACAGACCACACACAAATACAGAGTTACATGTAAGATATAGGTTTTTCTTTATAAACATAGAACTTAGAAGAGCTGAGATAGTATTAAATGTCCAAAACTTTAATGAACTGAATTTTAAGCTAAATTTCTTCAGCCTTTATCTAAGTACTACTCAACATTGGTTTATATGTGGTTGTCAAATTCTGATCTTTAAATAAAAGTGCAGAAATGGTTCAGTTTGATACTCAGTACTTTGTTATAAGGTCAGCGATCCCACCATTTTCTGTGATTCTGAAAGTGTGTGAGCCAATTATGCAAATGTTATGGCAACTTCCCAACCTGCCTAACAAATGTATTGCAAATGTCTCGTCATGTGACTGTACTGTTCTTTACCCAAGAATGTGTCAGTGTTTTTCACATGAGTTTTATTTATAATGCAGTATTAAATTGCTTGACTGAGGACAACTCTTCTTTTTATGAGGTTAGATAGTCTGAGTAGATTACAAATTCTTTATTTTTTATTGAAAGTTTTATAAATTTTACAAAAAGACAAAAACAATACAAAACAAAAAACAACATATACAAAAAAAAAATAAAAAACTAAACATTACATATAAAAAAACCCCCCCATCCCCCACCCCTCACAAACACCCTCCCTCCCCCCCCCCTGAGCTTCCCAGAGCAGAATATAGGCTTAGTTAAAAATTAACAAATAAAGATAAAAATTAAATTAAAAAATTTATATTTATATATAAAAAAAAATATCTATATATAACATTCTCTATATATAAAAATAAAACTTATGAAAAAACTATGTGATATTTTTTTATACCCAGTCTAAATTGTATAAATTTTATCCATTTGTCCCAAACGGCAAGAAACTTCTCTTGCGTTTGTTGCTTTAAGAAAGCCGAAATCTTTGCCATTTCCGCCAAATAGAACACTTTAAGAAACCATTCCTGCAGTGTAGGCAAAGATTCCTTCTTCCAATATTGTCCAACTAACAGCCTCGTGGCTGTAATCAAATTTAACATCAATACAACCTCCTTTGTATCACAATCTGTAACAATGCCCAACAAAAATAATTGCGGAGTAAATTTTACCCTCCTTCTAAAAATTCTCTGGATATTCCACCATATTTTAATCCAAAATGCTTTTATCTCTCTGCATGACCACCAAATATGATAATAGGAAGCATCCGTATAACCACATCTCCAACATTTGGGTTGTACGTCAGGGTACATAAGAGACATTTTTTGTGGATCAAGGTGCCATCTATAAAACATTTTATAAAAATTCTCCCTAAGGTTCTGTGCTTGTGTAAATTTGACATTTCTCACCCAAATGGTTTCCCAGATGTCCAATGAGACTGGGACATCAAAATTCTGCGCCCATCTAATCATGCAGTCTTTAATTAATTCCGTTTCTGAGTCCATTTCAACTAATACCCCGCAGATTCTCTTGATGTGGGTTTGTCTTTGATCCTTGACTTGCTTAATAAGATTTCCATCTTCTCTAAGAAAACCCAATTTACAATCCACCTTCCATTTATCTACTAGTTGCCTATATTGGAACCAAGAATAAATAATATTTTCTTGCGCTAAATCTTCCCGTAATCTTAACTGCCAGTTTTGCCCATCCCATCTAAGTAGCTGACTATAAGACACCATATCCATTTTTACACCACTTTTTATTCCTTCTATCGCATGCCAAGGTATGGCCCATAATGGAACTTTAAAATCACTTTTATAATATTTTCTCCAAGTCCTAAGTAAAGAGATTCTTAAAATATGAGATTTAAAGACCCAATCCATTTTTTTATTAAATATTAAATAGGCATGCCACCCATAAAGTAAATCCCATCCCTCTAAATGAAGTATCTCAGGATTTGTCAAATTTACCCAATCACTAATTAGTGTTAAAACCACCGCATCGTAATATAATTTCAAATTTGGTACCTTGAGTCCACCCCTCTCACGGAAGTCTTGCATAATTTTAAACTTAACCCTTGGCTTTTTCCCTGCCCAAATAAATTTATTAAGACCCTTCTGCCACTCACTTAAGTTAATCTCATTTTTCAAAATCGGTAACATTTGATTTATTTTTTAAGAATGTTTTTAGATTAACTATTATAATTCACTACTGAATGAATCATGCATGAGCCCAGCATTTTTGCTAGTTTTAAGACATGGTTGAATTGTGACCACTTTCAAGCATTGTTTATTATAGAAATGTGTTTTATTTTCATCTGTGTGTCAATTTGCTCTTAAAATTATGATGTAATGTTCCTTAGAATGGATCTTATGTCTTCTAAATATCCTTATGTTCATATAGTTACTACTACTAAGAGACATTTTATTCCTCCAGCTTCCAAATATCAATTATTCTTGTAGGATAATTCTTGTAGGATTATTTAGTTTATGGGTACATTCAAAATTACTGATGACCTAATAATTTTGATGAGAGAGATAAAAGATGGAGTCCAATTTTCTAAACCAATGGGGCTTAATATATTTTCTAACACTTCCTATACATTTCTCTCTTTCTGTTTAATAGGAGTACTGAGAGTAACACAGTATAGATTGCAGACAAAAATGAAGGGAAAAGGCATTCAAATATGAAATCTGTCAATGTCCTTTGAATTCCCAATAATTAGATTTGCAAACTCTTGAATGGGGGAAAAATAATAGCAAAGAATTAACCACCAAATCCTACCATGTACATTTATAATTTTGTAAGTAGTCAAGAGTTATCCTGTATAAGTTGGGCAGCCATATGTTGAATAAATAAATAAAATTAAAATTTGTAATTTATTTATGTATTTATTTGTTATTATAGCTACCCATCTCACATATGCGACTTTAAGCGGCCTACTATGAAATATATAACATACATAAAATACAAAGTATAAAAAAATAAAAATAAAACACAAAGCAGCTGAGCATCACCCAACCAATTATCCACCCAAGGAGATAAGCTCCATAACATATCCAGGGTCCCAGACAAAGGCCGTAAAGTATGTTTTCAAGGCATTATGGGAGGCCTGCAAAGACAGAGCCAATCTAATTCCAGGGGGAATGATCTTCCAAAAGATAGGCACCATAGCAGAAAAGTAGGTCTGGGCCCTACCAGCCAATGCTCCTTCACTGACTGTACCCAGAACATGATTGCCTGATAAATTGGATAGGATGGATAGAGATAGATGGCATTTTATAAATATTTAATAACTCTGGTTTGTATAAAATTCAAACACCAAATTTGGAAATAATTATTGAGTGAATAATTGCTTTGAAGAAATGGGTGGTTCTGTGATTTACATAGAGCTGAGGGTGGGACTCTTGCTGAATAATTCTGTGAACACTAAAAGATTGCCAGTATGCTCTATGTGATCCCATAGTCCATCTGTATGAATTCACAGATGTCCACTCAGCTGCAACAACAGGTAAGTACTAATTCTTAGTGTGCTTCAGGTTTATGGCAAAAAGAGCAATGTGTCATATTCGGAATGTTATCTCACACTTCAAAGCAACAGCTGTGAGGAAGCAAGCCTCACAAATGAATATTTCAGGAAAGAGAACCTTATCTATCTTAATGTAAAAGTCATAGTCTAAGTAACAAGCCATGATGAGAGCATGAAATTATAAAATTCCTACGAAGCAAGATGAGAAAAAGTGAACCTTCAAAAAGAATGAGAAAATACTTTATAAAATCATTAACTTCTAGGCTAGTTAAGGACACTTTAGAGTTTAGACCAATGAATTAAAACTTAGAAGCTGTTTTTAGACTAGTCTCTTAAACATTTAAAAAAATTATGGGATTGTTTTTTTCTCTCTCATAGAATTCTGAATTTAACTTACCTTGTGTGAGTTAAGGTATAGAAAACTCAATTTATCTGCACTAATTTCTATGATACCTCCCAATTATTCATTCTAGTGAGGGGAATGTCTCATTTGTTTTTGTTTTTTTAGAAGTTCCACCCATCTTATCAAACCCAATTTATACATTTATACTACCTTCTACTCCCAAAAGCAGATAACTGATTGGATTTTTCCTAAAGGTGACAGCAGGATTTCTCAAGGTAGAAAGCTGGTGTATGCTATCAAAATTTGAGTGAGTAACATTCAAAATGAAATTTGAATAGAATTTCAGAATAGCTGCTGTATCTATATAAACAAGAATCATTAGGTATTATGATGGCGAGAGATAGAGACCAATCCCATTTATTTTGTCTATCTTTGGCTACAGTTAATTAAATGGGTTAATTGGATTAACTTAAATGGGTAAATGGTCAAGCCTTGTTGAAGGTCAGCTCCTTAGAAATCTCTTGATTTGGTACTATTCTTATTCATATATTAATATTGAAGGAAATGGCACAGTTTGTAGCTTAGAATACCATATATGTCTCAGAAAAGAAATTAACCAAATTTAACTAATTACTTTGATTGGAATGTGTTTTGTTCTACATCTGCATCCAACATACTACATGGACAATGCTTTATCGGATATCTATTGGAAAGCCTTTGAGCAATATCCTACTGGATACCTGTTATTGAGTTACAGGATTGCAAGAAAAAATTGTAGGGGTCTACGGCTATACGTTATAGCTAACGGGGGGCAATGAAAAATCCATAATGATTGTAAATTTGCTCTTGAAGCACACTGAACATAATACTTAGATTGAAACATAGGATTAACTATTCTTTTATTATTCTGTTCTGGTATTTAATGAACATTCTTTTTCCTTTGTGGATATAACGATGAACCAATTGATCTGACATATTCAGACTGTCTTTCATAAATGCTATTCTCTGTGGCTTTGCAGGCTTTAATTGGCTCCTTTTCTCTTTAGAGTGGGCAAACAACTACTGTACTCTAGTCCCATTCCTGTGAGAAAATGCCAAAAGAATGAACGGCCTAAGAATGTATTAAATGCACCATGCAGAATTCACTTTTGAGCTATTTAGCTATTTCATAAAATTACTGCTAAATGTGTTACTCTTGTTCTCTTTTGTAACCAAAGATCTTTGAAGCCTCATTCAAGCATTAGTATTCTCTGGATACACAATAAGAGTGTGTAGTCCTCCTCCACTTGAGTCATGTTTGCGATACCTAACAAGGCAAAATATCTGTGCACACATGTAAATCTTTGTAAGAAGAGAGCCTACATGTGTACAACTGTACATAGTATACATCTGTATATACATCTGTATGTAGTACTATTACCTGTATATACAATTGTGTAAAATACAAGTGTACAGTGTATAGGTTTCACACAAGCCAGGGATTATTTAAAATGCTTGGCTTTGAATTCTGTCATTTGATTCTTGATACTTATTCTTCATCTTGATATCAGTGCAGCCATGTAAAAGCTCTACTGGATTAATGTCAACATGTTTCCATTCCTAACCAATATTTTTTTTTCTTCTTTTTTTCCAGGTATGCCCAGTATTTCCAGCATTGGTAGTAAGTAATAAAGAGCAGACTTAGGCCGGCTTGGCTTGTTGTCCAGACTCTGAAAATCTATTTTTCCAACATCTATTTCTGTTTTCTTTAATGCCTGTTTTGTGATAACTGGAAAAATAGTATTAACTCTTTCCTTCAACATCTGCACATCATAAATATTTATGTTGGGAGGGACAAAGGTTTTATATGTCTCATAGCACTGCATCTTGCAGCAAATGGATATTCCATGATTACCAGACAAAAGTGTTGGGAAGCTAAGAGATATCAATCAAACTCAGTTAATGTTTTTTCAAAACCTGTATTGCAGGAATACAGAGGACCCTCTAATTTTATGCATATTTTCCTTTAATCATACAGATTGTAGTTTTGACAATATTTAAGTTATTTCTATTTTTCTTCAAATATACATTGTTTTGTCATTTCTCCATTGATTTTCTATAGAGCAACCCAGTTGCATAAATAATTTGAATCATTTTTTTTTTCAATCATGGATTGCTCCAAAAAGTTTCCAATCTGTGGCCCATGAGGTAGTCTCTTGTGTCAGTATAAACTAAGATTTTGGCACTTTCACTGTTAATCTCACAAAATTCTTGTAAAAGAATATTTTTAATTTTATTTTTAAATGTGGAAATAAATATTTAAATTGTAATTTTATGAATGCTATTTTAATATAAAAATAAATTAAATTGTATTTAATTGTATTTAATATAAAAATAAATTAAATTGTATTTAATTTTAGATGGATGCCATCTAAAATGGTCACATTGACATGGTGCCCCCTGTGGCCAATTGCTGGCTTATCTTGTGGTCCTCAGACGTTTTTAATGACAATATTGTGACCCTTATAAAAGAAAAAAAAATAGAAACATGGCTTAAATTAAGGTCATTTCAGTTAATTTTAATAATATCCTTGTTTTTATATAAAGTATTTAAATAGAGTCTGTATTGGAAATATTTTTAATACTGTATTTGACTAAGTCAAAAATTATTTTCCCTAAATCAAGTAATAAATAGTATAACCTTACAGTATTTTTAAGATGCTAAAAGAAACTGCTGGTTATCCAAATTAAGATGATTCAGAGAAGTACATTAATATACAGAATTTAAATATCTACTCAAATTTAGATAGGAACAGGAAGAAATTGAATATGAAATATACTGAACTTGTAAGGGGAAAATGCATTAAAACTGAATCTTGCTAAATAAGATTTATTTATCCACCCAATAAATATGGTTCTAAACCTAAAGGTATCTGAAATATCCTATTGAACATATCTGAAATTTGCCTGGAATGCCACCTTGAATGCATTGTGTACAAAAAGGATGAATGAAAAACTAATAGTATTCTACATATATTACTTTTCATCCCTCTGACTTTTTTTTTACATTTTTTTTACATTTTAAGACATTTTGCTCACATTTGTTCATGAACTCCTGGGAATAAATTAGCCATATTGTTTGATCTGGGAGGGTGGGGAAGATAGAAGAAAACTAAAGAAAGTCAGGAGGAAAATACTATTGTTCCTATATAAAGAGACAAACAAAATTGTCTTAAGTAACAGAAATGGATTTATGGTAAAATAGTTCTTGTGCTTCTGACTGTTGTTACTGTCTTGCATGTATTTATGTGGTTGTAATGTCACCTTACACTCTCATGGAGCTTTTTTTTCACTGCATTTGCCATCTCTGAGCATCAGCAGATTTTGGTCTTCAGTCTCTTAATAGGGAAACTCAAACAGCCTTAATCAGAGATGATCTGGAAGGATGCCCTGTTGCCTTCTTTGAATTTTGGATGCTTTATACAAAAGAATGATCAGTATCACTTGCTTTTGCTTGAAGGATTTTTAAAGGGATTTTGAAGAGTATCTTCAAAAAGTCAACATCTTTTATGCATTAAAGGTAACTCTAGTTCTTGTTTTAGAGTTACTGGAATATTGTTCATTGTTATGATACTCTCACAATGTACTGTACTCTATCGAAGAAAACAAAAATCCTTGCCACATTCTGATCCACTGTATTTCACAGTAATGAACTCAGCCTTCTAAATAGATAGGCAATAGATAGTTAGATGATAGATAGATAGATAGATAGATAGATAGATAGATAGATAGATAGATAGATAGATAGATAGATAGATAGATAGATAGATAGATAATGGACACATAACACTAAGTTATTTACATGATTTCAAGAAGCTTTTTTTTACCTATGCCTACACAGGATATGTATTCCTGTTATACAGATTTTCGTATTGTACAGCAAAATCTTCTTAATATTGCCTGTTTCAGAGTATAGATCTTCATTATTTTGACTTTATCAGTTCAATAGAGAAAAGAGAAAAAAATGAACAGAAACCATTAAGAAAGAATTTTTTTAAGTACTGTAGATGCTTGTATTAAATTACTGAGATTGCGGTGATCAGAAAGAGGCTAGCCAGGATAAATAATACACACATACACAAAAACACACTATATATATATATATATATATATATATATATATATATATATATATATATATATATATATATATATAATTTCACACATGCATCTACATATATGTATGTGTGTGAAATTATAGAAAATATAGAAGTATAGGGATGCATAGATGTGCATTTGTCTGTATTTTCTCTGATTTCAGTGAAATTTGCAATTATGTAGTATGTGAGAGTGTGTGGCCAAAAAACTTGAAGCAGTACATTATGTTTATGCACAGTGCCAAGAATGGTCATTTTGACATCCTTTCTGAGCATCTCCAGGATAATTACAACAGAGTTTTCCCTATTAAGGTCATTTGTACCTTCAAGTGTCTTTCAGTTGAGTAATACGTACTTGGTCATTTCCTACATACTTGATTCCAATGCTGACCTTTTCAACACTTTTCAGCTCAGGCTGCGGAAAAACAAAAACAAAACAAAACTGGTGAGATGGTTAGCAATTAATGAGTCCCAAAACCAATTTTAGAACACTATGAACCTTTTTTTAATATTTCAACATAACACTCAATACAACCATTTTTAAATGATCACAGTGTAGGCAAACATGTCAAAAACATTTTTCATATTGAATATTAGAGAATAAATTTGCTCTTTTGTGCTTTACTTAGATAAGTGTTAGGAAATTAACAATTTCAGAGGTTCAGGCTCTCCTTCCTGTTACAATAGACATAATACAATTGTTCACCAGACTACTTCAAATTATTAAGTAGACTGTCATATTTTTGGTTTGTCTGAATATAAGAATTTTCTATCTAGACAGGAAAAGTACTAGGAAAAGCATATTTTAAGAGTGTCTTTTCCTATATTGCATAGAATATATGAGTTTATTAATGTTACAGAATATTCAGATGCATGACCCTCCTTAATACAAATAGAAAAAGTGCTAAACTGCAAGTTCTTTTGCCATCATGTACCAACCCATTACACTTTCTCTGCAATAGCCTTATTAGTATTAAAATGATATAATAAATTTTTTTCTATATAAAGTGTGAGAAGCAAAATCTACCCTTATAGCTTGCAATGCACTCTGCCTTTCTTTCTGGTCCTCTGCCTTCCATCTCTATGTTGTCACTGCCTGTATATCTGCATAGCTAAGCTTGTTATATACCAGGTAAGTATGTTGTCACTCAACACAGCTGGTTCCTAATCCTAATTCTCCTCTTCTAGCCCAGATCAAAATAATCTAGTTTGGAAGCCCTGCTCTAAATGATCTGATTCTTAACTAAGTACTGCATCTAATCTTCATTGAGTGCACCATAATGTCACTAATTACGCTAAACAGGTAGTTAAAAAGAACATAAGATTGACCTGATACCCTGAGCCCTGTTAGTAATAAAAGTGTTCTAATATAAGAAAAAATGAGGCACTGAAATACAAAACCAAACCAAAGTCTGAAGCTATTACAATGTATTTTTGTTGCTTTTTTGCTTTTAATTATCCAGTTCAGCTTGTAATTTGTGCCTGATGCTTTCCCCCAATACTAGGGTACATATGATGGTTCTTTAACGAGTACAGTAATATATGGAAAATATAGGAAACCTGGTTTATATATCGCAGATTGCCAGATAAAAAAGAGGAGGGCAGAAACTCTTCAGAGCAGAAATTTGACAGCTCTGGTCCACAACTTAAAAGCTAGATGTGGCAAGGGAATAAAAATCTATCTCTTTGCCATCCTAACTAAGCAAGCTAGCAGAAGATGCAGTAGTGGTTAAGAACAAAGGGATGGCATGGCAAGTAAAGAGACAGATTTTATATGTGATTGATAATGGAGAGTTACTAATTTATTTTTAATATAACTTAATGGCCAAATTGAGTGGAACATAGAAAATAGGTGGACAGAATTTTTTTAAAAAGACAGAAAGAGAGTAGAGGTTCAGGATAGATTAAGATCACCTTGCTAACCTTTTGCTCGTATCTGTGGTTTCTACAAACTTAGTAAACCCTATCTATAGATCTTCCATCCCATATTTAATTTAAATCTTATATCTTTATCTTCTCTAAAAATAGACTGTTGCTTTACTGAGTTATTCATTCTATAGAAAATATTTTTATTATACTAGTTTCAGTATAAAATTATTTGACATTTGCATTTAATTATATATATATCTTTATGATCATGCTAACTGAAATAAACTGAAACAGTTAATACTCCCAGTTTATGATACCATTTCCTGATTTCTGTATAACAAAAGACAATTATCCTTTTGTTGCATGACCGATTAGCAATTGCTGATTGTTATATCTCCTAGTTAATATATCTGGGGCTGCAAAACTCTGAATGGCCAGTAGATAGCAGTGAAGGCACAGGAAAAATCTTTGCTGACATCTAGTGATTGTGAGGATTAGTGCAGCTAATGCCAACCTTATTCACAGTGAATCCCTACTATTTAAATGCAAGATAGAGAATAAAAAGCAGACAATTCTATATATTGTAGCAATGCACATAAGGCAAAACTGGTTTATCAGAAATTATTTAACCTATGGTAGTCACTAAGAAATTGTT